TGTTAGCAAGTAGAGTTTCTGCATGCGTCTCTCCTGAGGCTCGTCTTCGACTCTGCAAGGTTAATGATAAAGCTTGTTGTGTTGTCTTTGCTTGTCTCATTAGTTAGCGCGCCATCAAATGAGTGTCGGTTAGCTGGTTGAGGCATAAATGAGTACAAGTTTTGACATCATCAGTGTTTCACAAATTGGGAGTGTTTAAAAGTCTACTCGTGAAGTCCAAAGTGAAATTGTGTCGCTAAGTTTCTAAACAAAAAGATCACTGCGGTCAGAAAGGCTGGGACCGATAGATGAAAGTGCTTACTGAATAACCGATACTAGACACTGCTGACTTGTACTGTTCTTGAAGTACTATTTTAAAAGCTTTTAGGCCACATACAGTGCTTACGGTTAGAAATGTGAAATGGAAAGATTTAGCATGACGGCTTGTATACATAACTGCTCCAGATAGCCGTGTAAGGTTGATAACAATTTGGCTGCTGAAGGGAATGCCGGCTCTGATGCAAGTGTTTTATCCACAGTCATGCTAATATGGCATAGTCTGAAGACGATATAAACAAAAGTATGTTTATTACTTTGCTCTAAATTGTCATGTTTATATTTGTGAGTGCTATACACCAGTCATGAAGTAAGTGCGTGCTTGCACGTACAACGTGCTGGTGATTGCACATCAGCATGTTGCTTTTCACACTTACGTTAAGACTGTTAGCTACACACACACATATCCCAACATTGGTGCTCATTTTGCAAAACTCATTTCCTTTCGGCCATTCACATTAGCCTCAAATATTCCCAGATTAGCTGTTTAGTTCGTGCAGTTTTAAACTGCTTGACACCCCTAACACTTCTAGTTCTGTTTTCATATCCTAATTTTGGACGACAACTAGCAGAGCAGTCAAAGCATTGTATCTTGTGGCTCAAGACTAATATTAGCCCCCCGAGTGAAAGGTCTGAAACTGCATTGTGCAATATCCCATAGTGATTCCACAGGTGTGAGGCCTTAGCACAAAATACAGTATATTCAAATAAACATTTCAGTGCTAAACCGATACCTTTAAACCTTATTTCCACTTTACTTCATATGCAAAGCCTAAGATATGTGTTGGGAAAGGTTGTCATTGCTACCATTAGTCTTAAATGCATTGTGTCACTAAATAACAAGGAAAGTCAAGTCCAAGCTAAACATTTTTGATCCTCTAGGATTTATTTCTTTTTAATGAAAATGTTGGTCTGTGCCACATTGACTGTGCAGGCCCTATAGCAATCAATGACCACTAAGAAATGAATGGGACACCCACTTCAGATACACGGGGATCTTCTTCATGTGAATATGCAGCATGGTAGCCACTTCAACAGCGATACCAATATCGATGAATTCAGCAGGAGTGCTTTAATGTCAGCTGTATATTTCAAAAAGGTTAAAGAAGCGTTTTGCCAATTTAGTGTGTGCCCTTGCTTTCTTGCAAGCTTAGGATGCGATTGGTCGACGTTGTTAGGTGCCAGTTAGTTTAGGCATACTGGTTAAACAGGCGTCTCTTCCGAAATTTCTTTGCCAGAATTAAGGGCTGATTTCGTCATTTGTGGGGTGGATTAACCAGCATGGTAGTACTAATGCTGCATTATGTTATTCTATTTTTTCTCCTCATGTTCATTTAACTGTTTTCTTGTGACCTCGGTAGTTTGACCATTCATGTGTGCACATCCCCACTTCTCGCTGTCTTTTCTGGTTTCCCCCTCCCCCCTTTTTTCTCTCCCTGCTGACACCAGTATTTGGCGCTTCTTGTCATGGCATACGGTGGTGGTTTGTGTCATAGAGGAGCATTTGCTATGTTAGTTGGTTATGGCCTTTCTCTCCTTCCTCTTTTTTTTTCTTTGACATGGCCTTGTGACAAGACAGTTCTTGACCTCTTGTTGACCCTGACAATGATCTTCATTGATGACATGTGTTGCATTTAAACCACTGAGCTGCTCTGAAGGCGATCTCTCCGAGTGCTCTTTTTTTTTCTCTCTCTCTCTAGCTTGCCTCTTTTCTATTGTCACCAACCTAATGATGTTACTGTCTCTAAAACCGAAGTTTCTGTTGACTTTTTTTTTAGTTTGTTTTCTCTAGCTTTGATTCACCTTCTGCTCAGTCTCGGTGAGAAGAAAAGCTTGGTGGTGAGCATGCTCGCACTGTGCATTGCTGAATTAACTTAAAAATGAAAACATAGCTGCACCAAGTCTTGTTCGCCGATTTGTGTGGCTTAAGTTCTGTCTTGTCTGACTCTGTCTTCGCTGAGGAACAAAGGGTTTGTTTCTTTCTGCATGGCTCTGAAGAACCTAATTTTCTCCATGGTTGAAGCTGCACAAGCACTGAAACAGGTGCATATTTGTGTTACGTTAAAATTTTCGCGGCGGTGGCCTTAGTAAACAGAAAATAAATAGCATGTAGCTCATTGGTGGAGCAAAGCAAAGAGTTGCATTTGTGTTTTTGTTGTTCAGAGCTCGTGCAGCAAGTTCAGGGTATTGGTATTTCGAATGGCTTGCCATGTAGTGTTGACGTGCCTGTTTCTCTCGGACCATCCATTATGTCTGTCCCGAGGAGTAAACTTTCTAGCAAGGAGCAAAATAATAGTTTAACTGCTAAGTAGTCATTGTAGTGCCTTGCTAAGCTGAACGTTGATACAAACTGTGTGTGTAGAATTTCCTGCATGGTTAAGTTTTATCTTATGCTACGGGGCCATCACTTTCATTGTTGGGGCAGCTGCGTTAACAAAGAAAATAGGTCAGTATATTAAATTTTAATTATGGCTGTTATGTAGCCCTTTTGCATCAAGTAGCTTCATGTGTTGCATTGAGTAGTGGAATAAGCCACTTCTTCAATGGTAAGGAACTCTACATCTTTAATTTCGTGTCAGGGAAATTATAATGGGGTTCTCGCAATCTGCCCTGCTGATGTACTTGTACCCCATTCTGGGTTTGACTGCTACAACTGGAAACTGGTGGCCTTGTCATGGGAAGTGTCGTAGCCACTGAGAAGCATGCACCGCCATACGATTGTAAGCTAGCTCAAGACTTGCGTGCCGCAAGCGAGTCGGGTGGCATGCTCCTGTGGTTGCCTGCTCCTTACCTATGGCAGAAGGTGAAGCAATGCCAGGGCCATTCTCTTTTTTAGTAACCACGCTGTAACCGCACTTTTTTTCTCGATGCTCCTCTCTGCACTCGCTGTTTGTTTTATTTGCATCACGTTGCCTCTAGAATTTTCACTGACATTTGTTGCTGAGAAGTGTTTGTGTGTGTATGCTCCCCGTCTGCAAGCTGTGGACATGTTGTCTGCTCCGGAGAGGTGTCTTCAGCTGCTCGTTCACTCTTAAGCAAGCTGGCAGCGCAGGTCATCTGCGCACGTCCCTAACAGTTACTGTAGCTTTATTGGCAATTTTTCAGGTGTCTCATCCTGAGTTGGCCTATGAAGCACTGTATAATGTTTGCATCGTATTATGCCGCTCTTTTAATGAAAACCTTCATTCAGTTTATTGTTATCTTATGCCTAACAAATGGGATGCATGAGTAAGCGAACTTGTTTGCATCTTGTAGTAATTGCAGATGCTAGTTTTGTCACCATGCACCCATTCTTAAATCACTGATTTAAATGTATCATCCTTCTAAGGTATATGCATTTCTTGTAAAGTAATTTCTTCAGCCATGTACAAGTACCGCTTCTCACAGACTGATGACACAGTAATGTGACCTTGTCACGTCATGTCATGCCAGTCTGCAGCAAAGTGGGGCATTAAGCCTTTCCATACATACCATGAATTCATGAACTTACCAGATCAAGTCCGAGTAAATGGTGCTCTAAGCCAGCTACCTGCTCGCAAGAAATTTGGGAGCAATGTGAAAGCGAAGGACGTGACAGAGAGTGCTCTGCCAGCTTGCTTGTACTGAGCTTGTTGTTTTCTCTCTTACTTTCTTGTGTGATATTTTCTTTTTGGTGCACGGAACGCAACCAAACATGCCTAAATAAATCACTGCAATAACGCAAGGACATGCAAACCGGTCCGGGCCTTTGGGTGACTTGCATTTGATCGCCATGGCGCGTGGTGGCGGTCGCAGCTCATGGTCTGCTGGAGTTACCGTTTGCAGATGCTGCAGTGCTCGGAGATTGCATGGCTTTCATGTGCCTCTCACGTTTCTCAAGAGCTTACTTCAGGCCTCCGGTGCAGCGATGCAAACAGCAGCAAGCTGTTTCATTTGCTCTTGCCTAAGAAAAGAGGACCTGTTCTCTTGCAAGGTTGCCATCACACCTGCTGCATTTACCTTAACAGAAATAGGGCTTCTAAAGCTCCTTCATTGCTTTAATTGCCTTTGTCATGACGGTCAACATTAATGGTAAGAACTCGTTTGAACGTTCAGTTAGGTGATATGTGAGGTAATACTTAGGCAAAAACTAGTAGCGTGTTGCCCATTCGCATCTATTTATGGTGTTACAGTATCCTGGCTTATCCAGGATATAGTTGGCACATTATTTGAGCGGATAGTATTATGTCCTAGAAAACCTGCAATTGCCGCAAGAGTTCATTTCACTACCATCATTTAATTCTTTAATTCACAGGCCAGTGGGATCACTGCCTGTACCTTCCTTATTTCCACAAGCACAGCCTCTAGTGAGAGGTCACCGCTTGCGACCCTGAGCCTGCGACCCCAAGAGCGCTTTGCACCTTGCACTGCTTTGTCGTCTGTGGCAGGTCGTCAGAAGGGGCTGGGCAGTGGTGAACGCCGTGATAGGTCTCCGACCTGTCGGCCTTCCACCTCTGCCCGTATTCCCCTCTGGAGGCGTTGCCGAGTTTGTCGCTGCATTGTGTACGGGATTTTTATTTCTTCCAAGGCCCGGCAGGGGTGCAGGCAGTCCGTGCGTGGTGGTGCATGATTGATCTTTTGACCTGTGGACAGTTTTTAAAAAAAAACATTACCTCTGCTGTCTGGAGCGCTGCCCCTCTTTGCCTTTTGTTCTTTCTTGCATGCAGGGCTTCGGTTTTGTCACGTTCGCAACTAGTGCGGATGCGGACCGAGCACGAGAGCAATTGAACGGCACAGTTGTCGAAGGCAGAAAGATCGAGGTGTGCATGGACGTCTTTTTTACCTACTTCTCCGGCCAGTTTGCCCTCCTCAATTTTCCATGCCTCTTTCTTGCTCCCCTGTATACCCCCTCCCCACTGGAGTTCATTTCCTCCCTAATTTCTGGCACTTCTAAAGCAATGAAATGTTCTCTGACCTGCTGCCTGACTAAATCCATATATTCCCACACTCCTCACCCAATCATTCTTTCATCATGTTCCTTACTCTGCCTACTCCCTTTCTTCCTATGTTCTCTACTTCCCTCATACCTACTGCACCCATTAGTGCAGTTCTCTCTACATAATCTGATATCCTTTTTTTTTCTCAAACTCGCCTTATATCCTTCCCCCCTCCCCTACTCCCCTTTTTTTTTCTCAAAAGAATTGCCCCCTTGCAAACCCTTAGTTTCACACCCCACACTTTCCCAGCACTTCAGTGAGTGTTGGTGACCCCTTTCCCCAATGGGGACACCTGCCACCACCTTGCAGTGTCCAAAAGGTGTCAAGTGTTTTTTCTAAGTTTTTTTCTAAGTCTGCAAGCTGTGCACATCTGCCACTGTCGCTGAATTGATGGCCAATTAGCCAGTTCAGCTACAGTGTGCTTGGATGGTACCTGCTCTGATTGTGTCAACTGAGCTTGTGTGGAGGCCTTCCCCATTTTGTGTTTTTTTCAACCGATACCAGTGAGCTCTTTTGTTATTTAGAGCTTATTTTGGTCAGTAACCTTTAACTCGCCAGTTTTACACAGCTGCAGTCTTTGGACGCTGCAAAAAACGCACACTTTGGCGAAACAGGAACCAGCTGTTCACTTAAGGGAAGAGTCTCCAACCAAGCTTGGCGATAAGTGTGCCTAACGTAGCACACTCATTAACAAACTCTGCCAGGGGCGGTGTGCTTTTTTTTTCTCTGCCGCGTGTGTGCGCGGACTTGCCGTCATGCAGTGGTGTGACTTGTTGACCTTTCGTTCCTTCAGAGTGTGTCGCCCATCTCCGAGGCTTTAGAGGCCGGCGTTAGCTAAAGCGCTCATGGGGAAAAGTTTGTGTATTGGAGGTCAAAGGTAAGACCTCGAAAAAGGCAACTCTGCCCACTCGCTCGAGAAAGAATGTTGCTCGCCTTGGGGAAAAGTTACAAAAAAAAAAAAACCTTCCTGCAAGTGTTTTCTGAGAATGAGCGCACGGTTCACACCTCCCACAGGCCCCAATGCCCCTCTTCCACTGACTGCCGCAGCCATTTTCGGAATAGTAGCGTGATAGGAGTCTCATAGTGAAAGCATTGAAGAAAGACTGAATACAGAATGTTCAGGCAACATTGCAAGCATGCTTAACTTTAGCCTGTAATAGATTCGATTTAGTTGCATTAAGAGAAGGGAGGTTCTCGCCTGTAGGGATGGTGTAGTGCCATGCTTTGCTGTTACAGCTGTAGGCCAAAGATTTCAGCCAGGCACTGCCTTATGTTGCAGCCTTGTACACTAGTGTCATAGCACAATAACTGCTCTTTTCAAAATTGACAGCCATGTTTCAGGTTATATAGGCCTTTGTTCATATTGTGGCGGCACTGCTGGTGGAACGAACACTTAAGCAGCCAGTGTTTTTCAGAAACCAGGACGCCTACTGAGAGAAACGGAGGAAAATTCTGAGCTTTAGGGACAAGAAGAGAGCAGAGTGGGTCGGAGCAAAAACGAATGCGGAGGACATCTTGCTTGGAATCGAAAATGGATATGAGCAGGGCATGTAATGCATCGGCACACAACATAAGAGCTGATTGTTAAAAATGACACTGGAAAGAGCGTGAGGAGTAGGCAGAAAGTTAGGTCAGCAGTTGAGAAGTGGGCCAAGGTAACATTGCCGCAGCAAATACAGAACTGGGCTGATTGGCAAAACATGCGAGAGGCCTTTTGTAGGTATAGCCAGGCTGACAATGTTAGGTAAATTTATTTCTAAACTAGAGTGGCGGCAGCGGTGGGGAGGGTGCCAGTGGGGCCCCGCTCCTTTTTTGCGTCTGCAGCTGTGCCTGGTGGCTGTGCCTTGAAACAACACACGCTTGCTCGGGCCAGAGTTGCGCGTGCGTGGGGTTGCGCTAGAGTGGTTGCTGGATGTGTAACTACACCAGAGAGCATTTTGCCTGCCGCACGGCCCCAGTCTTTTCTTCATTTGTTCTGTTTTTCTGCTCTCTCTCACTCGATTTTTTTTCTTTCGATCTCCTCTTCTTCCGAAGGGAATCAAACCAAGGAACGTACCTCTGCTTGCAAAGGTTGTGCCCTAGAGAGCGGATGGGTCGCAACCCGCTGCCATGCAGACCCTGCCCTTTTTGTCCTCAAAGTGTCTCTCAAACTGTTGAAGTTAGTGGTGAAATTCTGGCTAAGGCTCAAGCTAGATGCATGAAATGTTAAATTCAAGCTACAGTGGAAGCCCCTACATTGATTGAATCAGGCTTCAGACTTGAAGTGAAAGGCTTCTTTGCCTGTGGCTCTTAAGTGACACTATACTCCGTTTAATACATGAGGCACAACGCTGTAGGAGCTGTGCAGAAGCTATTCAGTAAAATGTGAAAGTACGCGTGTCTAGTACTTGTTTTTCGTTCCGGTAAACATGGCCTCTGTAATCGGTGACAACTGTATCCAGAACTAATTGTGTGGGCCACAATATTGAAACAGATACTAAGTGATCCAGAATGACCTTTTGACAACCACATAAATAGCACAGTTTTATTCTAAAGCACAAAGCATCCTCATTAGTTACTCTGTCTAAAAACAAAAAAGATTACTTGTGGGTAGATCACTGAACTATTTCTTGGTTCGCATGCACCTGGTTCAAGTATTCTCGGTAGCTTCTATAGTGTTGCACCGAATGTATGAAACAGAGTACATGTTCGGAACAGTAGTCTTCATAAGTTACCTGCCACGCTCTGCACAAGGCTGGAGGTCATGTCCTTGTGCGCAGCTCTATTTTAAAGGACTTGGACTGCAAAATGTTGCTGTGTGCTCTCCTGGAGGCCCGCAAGAAATACCAGGTGGTCAGATATAGCCTCTAGACCACAACCACAGTGCCCTGTATGAGTGCTGTGCAGTTTCAGAATACTCAACCCAGTAAAATTTTTGGAGATAGTCATGCGATACCAAACTATTCAGCAGCTTAGTTTTTCATTTTTGAGACTTCCTTCCTAGAGGCCAATGTGGTTTTCTTAATAACCACATTGTGCATGTTAATGACGTCATTCTATTTTATGAAGTCAAGTTAAATTTAATTCACTGTCATAATATCCACCAGCCATAATGTTCAAATGATGTATATGTGTCATGTACAAGGGGACATGTTAAAAAAATGTCACGAGGGAGCATTTAGATTTGCTTGCTGCAATAGATTGTGTGGCAACTCGGCCATTAGTTAAAGCCATCTAGCTCATTGACTCACTATTTTAGTGCAGTTTTTAGCCAGTCCTTGCTAATGCTTTTCTTTGTCTGGCTTATGCTACATGCTGGTACTGTAAAGGGACACTAGAGGGTAACGATGAGTTAGCTTAAATAGATAAATTTAACTGGGAACTAAATAATGTTATTCACCATTGTAACTTTCATGGATAAGAAAATTGAGGGAAAGTTTCATTTCTAAGTTTTGCGCCAATGTCCGTGTCATGACGTCGCCAATTTCAGTGCATTTTTTTGTATTTTGGAGACTTTGGTTCAACAAAATACCTGCAACTTGGTATGTTAAGTCTCTGGCTCTTACTGGACAATTTGCTTAAGTTTTATCAATTATGAACCACGTGGGTCCCAATAGACGCCATCGAAATCTGACCTGGCAATTGGTGCAGGAGCTTCACAGTGGCATCGGGATCCTAATTTTCTTTTTTTTACATGTTCTTTTTTGTCAAGCATCTTCTCACAGTGAGCGTAGCGATTTGTCTATTGCGAAAGAGTACGAGAAAAATTGACTTTCTCTTTGGTGTCCCTTTAAGCGAGATATAAGCACTAGCTAATGCAGGAGCGATTCCCCTTTTATAATAGCTGATGACCTTCTGTGCATTGATCCAGGGTCTGACAGGGTACCTGCTAATAGAGGAGCAACCCTCTTGTCTAACTGCTGAGAACCTTTTGTATGCTGATGAAGGGTTAGGCAAAGTACCAGCCGATGCAGGATAAACCTCCTTTTCTAATAGCTGATAACTTTCTGTATGCTGATTCAGGATCGGGCAGGGTCTGTTGGCCTGGCGGGGAGCGCACCCTTGCGTAGTTTCTCTGTTGGCTGCTGCTGGTAGAGGCAATGTGGGAAAGGGGGGAGTCTGTTCTGCCTCTATAGTTGTGTGTGCGGCAAGTGTCTCTGTCGGTGCCTGATGGAAAGTGTCTGGGTGTTTCACTCCCCGCCCCCGTGAACATCTTAAGAGGGGGACTAACTTGGCTGCGTCCTCGGTTTCATCGTTCTTGAGGGTGTGTTTTGTAAGGGAAGCTCGTCACGGGCCCTTTGGTAACTTCGGCTGTCTTTGAGACCTTATCAGTGATAATCCTCCCGATGAGTGGCAGATCATTTTTGAACGAGCCTACTAATTTGAAGGAGTTTTGTGAATGCAAGAGATTTCATTGTCTTAAAGTTATAAATAGCTGAAGGTGAAACGCCAGCAGCTGCTGCAGCCTTTGCATACTTGTAGCTGAATATTGCTGCCGTTTTGTGTCATGTTATCAAAGGGGCTCTGCAATGCTTGTTCAAGTACTAATTGCCAAATGGCTTCATTAAAAGAGCCTATCGCCTTGCAAATCCACTGCCACAAAACATTTTAGAATTCAAGTGCAAGCAGAGTTCATTAACTGAACTTGCAAATTTCTGCTCTCGCTAACCCATTCAGGAGGCAGTGTTGTATTCGATTGAGTCATTAGAACAAACACTGGCCGTTATGACTTGCCAGTTTATTGCACCCTCAAAGATATAAGCTATGGATGCAGCCACGTTTGTTTCTGGCCCTGGGTGCAACGACCAACTGTTGGTATCTCTCGGCTGACAAACAAGCATGGTTGATTGTAGCATCGCACGCAGGCGCTCCTTTTAGAGAGAGCAACTACATTCCTCTCACTCGACTTTCACATAACGTCTTGCTTGCCCAGCGTGCGTGTTGACCCGCATCACTGCTTTTTTTCTTATATTTTTTTTTCTTCTACACACAGCCATGCTTGCTCTCAGCAGAAGGAACCTGACGGCTACCCTCTGACCTTTTTTTTTTTCTCTTTTGTGCTTTCTTACACTTTTCTTACATCCACTCAACAACTTCCTCCTTTCCACTCATGATCTTTTTCTTTATTGTGCATTATGTTGAGCAAAGTGTCAATTGCGAAGGTTGTGCTAGACTGAAGAAATGCCTTTCTCAAGCATGGTTGTGCAGCTGCGAGATTAGCCAAGTAGTGGACAGGCATCCATTCTGAGAATGTTGAAGGTGTGGCTTGTTCTTTGGAAAATATCAGCCGCAACGTTGCCTTAAGTCAAAACTAGAGAAAGTTAATTTTTCGTAAAGTTAAGCCCCTTGCAACTTTCAAACAAGAGTAAGATGTCACTCTTTCTGTCTTTTTTAGGGTACAATGGCTTTACTGGCCGTAGTTGTGCAAATGAAGTAAAATAAATAATGATGCATTATGAGTAAAATTTCTCAGGCCCATAAGCATTTTAGCTATTATTAGCTTTGGCTGAATTATTAGCCCCTTAATCTCGCTATATTCGTCACAGCCGTGGTGTAGCAATGTTATGTTTAGCAGGTTCTTATAACCACAGTTCTTAGAAGAATGTTACATAAGCCGCCATAGGAATAAGCATTGGAAAAGTCCAAATGTCTGACTAGTATGCTTCAAAGATTTCGTTAAAATTTTAGTTTTTCAAATTCATCTACAGGTTTATTTTATGAGGTGAAATATCTCACCTAGCTGTTTGGTGATTAGGTTAAATGCATTTATGACGAATTGCTCATGACCTTTTTAATGCTTTGTTATTCATGTAACTACACTGCAAAGGCTGTTGATTGTAATACTTTCAACATTGTCAGAAAAATTATAAAACCATCCTTATGCTGGTAGTCTTACTGAGGAGGCACTAAGCTCCCCATTTTTTAGCCTCTGGGATTATGTTGCTTTGAGTAATTACACTGGCATTTCAGGCCGTCAATTGCAGTTCTCCTGCCGTTCCCAGAGTAGCCATCTGATGTTCTGTCAAACCAGGCTTGATGATGCAGAGCCTTCATCAGTCTAGCACATCCTTCATTGCACAGTGTTCTTTGTTGCAGTCTACTCACAGTAAATCAAACTTGGGCTTCACAAAGGCTTGAATAACAAAACAGTTGAGTGAAATGTGCTAGAAAGAAGAATGAAACGTTCCAAGCAGGCACGCAAATTTCATTTGTGATGCCAGTTGTTGGCGACACCTTTTGAAGTTATGCACAAGCCTTTATGTTAATACAAGTTTGTCTTTATCAATAATACACCAGGAATGTCTTCCATATGGTCATCCCTGGCTTTATGGGCAGCATTAACTGAAAAAGACCTCGTACGCAGAAGTCAGCCAACTTGTTGAATTGGCTGGTGTGTAGCGGGCACAGTGCACTTCAGCTTTGTGTTGTCCATGCTTGATTAATTGTGTGTTAACTGACTGCACCTTATTCATTGTATGGCTAGTTTTTTTGTTTTTTTTAATGTGGGCATAATGGTATTGTGAATGGCAGGACACATTAACTGTATGGGAAATGTTTGAAAGCTGAAACTAACACTACAAGTTTGAAGTGCAAGGAGCATGCATTTTAGTTTTAATACACCGATGCTTCACTTGATCGAGCTTAACTGTGGCTCTTTATCATAGCCACATTGAAAGCTTTTTTAATGTGATCTGTGAGGCATGTTAGCTGTACAAGCCACTAAGTTGTCTGTTTTCATAACTGCATGGGACTTGTTAGTGCAAGAGATTACAAAGTAGGAATTTGCACCGAAATGGTGTTTATAGTAATTTTAGTTTGTGTTCGAGGCAAAGTTCGCACTTTTTTGTTTCTTTTACAGACACAGAAATGTGAAGTGAATTACACTGTTGACACTACTGTAATGCTCGTGCTTCTTGTAATGCCAGTGCTACTTGTGTTGAAAATCAAGAATAACAAGGCTATATATGAATTTTTGTTTACATTTGAAGAACGACCGTTCTAATCTTGGAATCTAGAATTGTGCATGCTTTGTAGTCCTTAATTAGAACTTTCACTTCACTGTCATCTCCTTGCACAGTGTGGCAATGCATTGTGTGTTCATATGTAGTAAGGGGAAGGTTCTTAAAATGAAGATGCTTACTTCCCAAAAATATTGTAAGGCAGGAGAAAATATTGTAATGATGAACAGTTGTCACAAAAGTAGCACTCCCATGCAGTTGCAACCCTTAAAGTTGTCAAATTATTGTCATTTGCAATCTTTTACAAATGAGACTTTCGTTAAGCTCGATTCTTTAGGCACCGATGTCCTGACTGCCCACATTGCATGCAGAATACTTGCTATGGTCGTGCATGAATTGGAGTTTTTGATAAATTTTTATTCTCTGGAGCCATCGACATTGTGTGCTTGTCTTGTCTGATGTCTTTATTCTTCCCGTGTCTAGGTAAACAATGCGACAGCGCGGGTACAGACCAAAAAGACGCCGACAATACCCAACGGTGAGCAGACAGGTGACGCAATTTCCATACTTCATCTGACTGCTGCTCTGCTTGCTTGATTGTGGGGTGCACGTGTATGAGGCCTTTGGCGAAGGCCAGTGGTTAGCGAATAATATTTTTATTAGTGTGTGGAGGGGGTATTAATGGTGGTTCAACTGCCCCGTTTTGGTACAGTTCGATTTCTCTGTGCATTACTGCACCAATTATTATTGTGTCTTTTTGTTCTTAGTTGTGTCCCTAATGCATATAACCTTTTCATAATGCTTCCCTTCTACAAAACCAGGAGGGAATTGTGTTTTCACACTTGTCGCTCACACAAAACGTGTGTGATATGCTTACTTTGTATGTTGCGGCGAAACCTGCCTGTGACATTATTTCGTGTAAACAGCCTCGTTGGTGGCTGTTCTTTAACTGTTGGTTTTCTTTATGTCAGAGCAGCGTTTCCTTGTTGCTCATTAGTAAGAGTGCATACTAATGAGCTGTAGACTCACAGCTGTATTACTCCAAGTAATCGTTTACTCCATTTTGTCAGCTTCGAATGCGCTCCTAAACACTATTCTGCTCTGACAAAAAAAAAAATTCCTGCTCCTAAATTGCAGCAGACTTGAAACTTGCTGGGCCAACTGTGTGTGTGCGTTGACTGAAGAGTAAAGCAGAGCAATAGGCCGTATTTAACTTGTTTGTTAGAATATTGCTAGCCCATTAGGGGTCTTTGCTGTAGGTGCATCAAGCAGAAAGAATGCTACAATGCAAATGATATTTGTGTACAATGTTAAACAAGACTCGTCACGTCAGCTCGAATCGCAAAATATAAGTAATGCTCAGTATGGCGCGACAGTAGGTTAATATTATACACTCGGACATCGATATAACGAACCTAGATATAACGAAATATTGTTAATAACAAAGTAAATGAAAAATAGTTTTGTAATATAGTGTTAGGAATAAACCTCTATAATGAATCTCGAATATAACGAACTTATTTTCGTTCAAAATGCAAGTTTGTTATGATGACGTTTGAGTGTAGTACGTATATTGAAGCAAGGTAGAAAATACTATCGGAATTATGACATCTGAACAGTGAACAGTTTTGATACCATTCAATGCACGCTGATGCCCATGTGATGGTGCATGGTGTGCACATTGCTAGTCAGCAGCTTTTTGTTTTTTATGGTCAGCTGTGTTTACGAACCAGGCTTGGTCCCGGCTCTTCCGGCACCCGCTGAAATCGATACTGCGACAGGGTACTAAAAAATGTCTCCAAATACTTTAATGTACAAGGTTTCCAGCTGTGACAAGTGGGCCATAGCAACGATGCAAAAACAGGAAAGAAAGCGATGTGAAATTTCTGTAGGCATTCCTGGGGAAACATGTCCAGACATTGTGTGGAACTGTCTTCTGTGCTCCTCTTGATTTAGTTCACAGCTTGATTGCGCTGAGTGTCACAACTTGATTGCGCTGAGTGTCGCGCCTTTTGTGCAGAGCGCCACCTATAGAATGCTGGAGAACACTTTTTGCTGATAGCGTCACGCAAGCACAGCGGCACAAAAATTAAGCAAAAAACAAAGCGTGTGACCTCCAAAATGGCGGGCGTGCGGCGTAGAAGCACGTTGTGCACCCGCAAGGTCTACCGCAACGTTTGTGCGCTGCTATCTGACGCTGCGTTTTTGTTGTCGGGTTTGTCATTGTGAACTTAGTTGGCACACCTGCTGCGCGGGGCACGTTAGGCCGAAACGCTAGCTACACGGCTGGTTACAAACAGCATGCGCTGGAGCATTGGAACCGAGTAGCTGGACGACACTTTGGCGTCGATCCGCGTCCTTTCGTTACGGAAGGCAACAAAAAGAGCTTTGCGCTACAAAAAGGATTTGTCGCGCATTTCACAGACCAAACCAAGCAAAGCCGTCATGTGAAATTTTTGCTGTTATAACTCCCATGACTTTTTTCTTCCCGCGTAATGAACCCTCACCCCAAATTGGTGTCAACTTTTCTGATAAAAAAAAAAAAAAGGTGGGTTTACACGAGTAAATATGGTAGTCTGTTTGGATATGCATCTCTGAACACAAATTTAACGTGCATCAGTTTCTAGTTTTGTGCAGAAGACCTGCTGTTAGAATGCACTAATGTCTGCGGTGACGTCCTCTTTCTGTGCAGTGGCCGCTCTGCGGGGCGTAGCGATTCAGCGGGGCCGAGCGCGGGGCGCGGCCGCGGCCCCGTTCGCCGCCGCCTTTGCGCGACACCCATCACCACTCACTGCAGCTGCTGCTGCTGCTTCCGCACTCCATGGTTACACTCCGTGAGTAACCTATACTCAATGTAAATTTTTCATGCTGTACACTTCGTAATGGGCTAACATTTTCAGAGGCCTGTGTTATGTCAACTAAAAGAGCATAGCAGAGCAGACTGTTTGGCTAGTTGGCTGTCTATGAACTCTAAAATAAAAAGCGCTAAATATCGACGAGCATAAAAAGATCCTGTGTCTGCTCTCTTTGTACTCGTCAGTTTTAAGCACTTGATCTTTCATAAAATGCTCATAAAAGCATTCATAAAAAATCAGCTCTGTCCTATTGCGATGTAGCACAGTTTCTGACTGATAAATTGCTCTCAGTGGGGTCTCAGCTATTGCCAACTCCGAACATTGGATTTGTGCGACACTTGAAGAATAGAATTGCTGCTTGACTCACTCGCAACAGAAAAACTGATGTACATGCCAATAGCATATGTAATCCAATTCTCCTGTTTCCTATATTCGTTCTGCATAATGGCTCTGTGTGAGTGCATGCACAAAAGCTGCGGTCGTGCTGCCGTCAGAAATATGAAATGAGAAAATTGCACTGACCCTTCAATTTATTGAACAATGAGGTGCGATCGATTTTCACATTTTGTAAGGAAGGATGTGCACATGCATGGCAGCATCGTTTGTATTTACTATACCCTGTCTGCAAATAGCTGCACCACTGTGGAGAATAGATGAGCGAGTTTCAAGTAACCGCCCTTCGACACACGCAAGCCAAGCAAGCCACACGCAAGACCAAGCCAAATTTACTGCCTAACTGATATGCAAGCCTATGCATCCACAAAGGAAACCTTAGAAACAAGACCATAACTCAGTGCCACAAGAAAAATTGTTCTACAGTCAAACCGTGCTACAACGAAACTGATGGGGCGTGGAACAAAAATCTGGTTGTAGTGAAGTCGAAAAAAAATATATATAGCTGATCTGAGCTAGCAAAACAAAATAACGTTGATTCTCAAAATTTAACAAATGTCGGCTGCTTCCTATTCTTTCCCAACAGCGTCACGACGTGATTCTCGCCCATGCATAGCGAGGCCATAGTGAAAAGTACGCTGAAACAACGCCTAAAACCACCTTTGTGAACGAACCAAACAGTTGCATTAAGGCGTTAACACCAGCAGCTGTCTGCCATCAAAAGTATCCGACAACGCCGAGCTGGAGGCAGGGTATCGTGGAGCGGTGGCTTTTGCATTATTCTATGACATTCTTATCGTACCTCACTCGCGGCTAGCTGATTTTGTTGATAATGCGGACCAACAGCCGCTCTGATTAGTTACTACACTGGCCAAGCGCGAACATAATAATAAGCATCGGAAAAGGCAGCGAGTCGCGGTTGCATCCAGCAGCTGCGTAAAGGGAACCATGAACTCAGCGACTGAACTTCAGCTTCGGATCGTCTGCGGCTCAAAAGCAAGCCAGTGGCAAAAAGCAGGGCAGTCTCATTGCCATTGTTATCGAGGCGGCACACGTGCTTGTTGGCCGTTTTTGGTTGTGCCAACGCCTGTTTTAGACTTAGTTAACACATTTTCAGGCTCTTAAAATGCATCAAAATGTTAAAGATTGGGTTTACTGCATAGAAAGAAGTATCTGATCCTGGAATTGCATCGTAAACTTTGAAGCGGGACGGTCGAAGAGAAAGTGTTCATTGTGGGGACTATATTTATGCATTGACTTTTATAGATCGCTGACGGGGAATCGTGAATGTTTCGTTGTAGTGGAAATTTCGTTGAGGCAGCGTTCGTTGTAGCAGAATTTGACTATATACGTTTAAAAGGGTGCAAGCACTTTCTTGTTGGTTGAAGTGAGGAATTTTTTACGGAAACAGGTGGCACTGTCAATGCATAACATTAATAATTTAGGACTTGTTCATAGCTCTGTAAACTTACATTGTTCTTCAATTCATGTTAAATTGTATTCTCTCTTGTTCTGTATTGTACTGTATTTGTAACAGTGAATTGTATTGTCTCTTGTACTGTATTATACTGTATTTGTAACAGTGTTTTTCACCATTCTCCTCTGTGATCTTTTTGCGTTTTCACCACTCTCTTCTGTGATGTATGTTGATGCAGATGATATCATAAGTAATTGAATAAACAATCAGTCAACTACATTAATGTTGTGCTCAGCCTCTGGCCTGAATCATTCCCTTCCAGTGTGTACCAGGACCCATTCCTCGCATATGCAGGTGCTGAGAGGTACCAACTTCCGGTGAGTTTCTGTACATTTTATAGTGACTCGCTTCAGTGTTATGGTGTAATTTTTTTAGTTATTTGTATATTTGTGGATTTCAAGAGTACATGAGGCCTTCTGCACACCTTTTTGGTGGAATAGCATGGGAATTAAAATTAGCAGTAAAATTGGAGGGGTGTGCTTCCTGAGAATTTTATGGTATTCACTAAGTGTATTCTGGGAAGTGCAGCTGTTCATCCGTAATGGAAACAGCGGCATTAGTTTTAAGAATCTGCACGACCAGTTCATTGGTGAAACGGTCATTTCATCCAGTGCACCTAGACTAAGTGCTGATGTTTACTCATTGAAGGCAAGGTAGTTTTGTTTGGTCATGGTTAGGCTACGTGTAGCTTGTGTTAATGTGTGCTGCATCTTAACATCTAGTTATGCAAAAGCTTCCAGCCCTAAAAGTACTGCAGTCTGGACTAAGTGAGAATTATATTTAGGGGCGAAGCTCCTTAGGGTGTAAGCCAGTCCTGCGTCGTAGTAGCCACCGGTAGTACTTGGAGCACTCACTAGATGGTACTGTGGCGCTTGCTCCACTTCGATGCATGCTGTCGTGTGACAGGAGAACCGCGTTCACTCTTGCTGTAAAGTGTGCGCTTCCTCTTTTGCCGACAGTCCACTAGCTTCGAGTATAAGTGACAAAGGCAAAGCGGCGGAGCGGAGGGCTCAAAAAACGGCTGCAGCGCGTGCTCACTGTCTTTACATGATTATTAAGTGAGCAATATTTACGGAGGATTCAGGGGTTTACCGATGCTCCGGAGCTTGGCCCTCTCATCATCATTCACTCTGTGGATATGCTGTAAATATTTTTTTTTTGGTAAACCTACCACAAATTTATGACATGAGACGTTAACTGAATAGAAATAAAGCTTTTGCCACCAATATTAAATCTCTTTTCAAGCACAGTCGTGGCCATGTGATAGAACACTTGACTGTTTCACTGGGTTCGATTTCGGCTCCAACCCTAGTTTGTATTTGGCTTTTGTACTCTCGGACAATGCCACCGCCACTGCATTTTCTACAACGCAGATTCTTGAAAGCGCTGTCACCTAGACATTATATTGTCAACTGTCAGTCATGTTTTCCCATCTTTCATGTCTGAGTGGCACCAACCCTCTGAGTGGCTTTTTTGTTGCTGACTTGAAAATATAACATGGCATGCAGGCAACGTATGCAGCGAGCGCTGCCTACACAGCGGCAGCAGCGAGGAGTTATGCGGCTGCAGCGGCAGCTGCGCAACCAGCCGTGGCTTCCTACACTGCTGTGGCAGGGTGAGTGTCTTCTCTCTGCGACACTGCCTTCCTGTTTCTGCAGTCTGTGTGTTTTAATGCTGAGCTGAAATTTCTTCACCGAGCATTCATCTCTCTGTACAGAGCAAACTACGCTGCACAACCATAAACGTGCAATACATTGTTGCCAACTTTGATAGGAGGCATTCAAGTCGAATGCTAGTTGTCAGAAAATTTTCACTTTTTTTTGCGGCATCGTGAAAGAAGATCATTTAATCTTGCATCATAACAAGCCACATGCTCACTGCTGTGTCAAGTTGCAGTGTAACCTTTGAGAAAGGGGGCTCACCTGTGGCTGCTTTGGTGATGGCTATGCAAGGCAACCATAAAAACACTTCTATTGTTCCGACCCGCATGTAGTCTGAAATATATTCTGGGAATAGTGAACCTGAGGGGAAAAAAATGTTGCACCCACATATAACATGAGAATAACGGAAATTAAATTTATTTACACACTTACCGTATTTATATGATTGTAAGTCGACCCAATTTCTCGTAATTTGAAATCCTAAGTTGGCGGTGGACCTATAATTGATAACTAGTTTCGATTGTAAAATTTTTCTGAAAATAATCCCCGCTTATTTCTGTGAAGCTGGCTTTCAAGCACTGCTGCAAAACCATTTTGGCACTCTGGAATTAGACTTTGTTTTCTATAGAGACATTCTCAATAAATTTTCTTGTGTGAAATGGGCTTGTGCTCTCTAACTTTTTTTTTCCTTCGTGCAATTTTAGGCGGGTCTAAATTTTAGTTTACTTCCAATCGTGTGAATCCAGCATTAATCATTGTTCAAAGCACTTTGTTTTGTAGTTCTCTCGTCATATATGGCGTGTCCTGACAGCTGGTAAAATTATTGAACCATTTCATGGTGCAAACGCATCTACTGCAAGAAGTTTTGCTAGCTGTCGTAGCATTGTACCTGATGTGTAAAGCAGATCATTGACTGTTCTCCATATGTCACCAGATCTGAACCCATGTGTGTGTGTGGGGGGGGGGTCAGGTGCACGTGCATTGCTGCAATGTCTCGTGAAGTTTCGAGGATGACTCTGGCTGCTGCAATGTCTAATGCGTTGGTTTCCTCCGTGTGCACAGCTCCCCTTCGCTCTACTACAGCTACGGGCGGGAGTATGCCGACCCCTACCTGGGTCACAGCATAGGACCAGTCGCCGGCTATGGGGTGAGTACTGTAATGGAGGTGCTTCACATACTGCTACAGTCGCCGATAGATTTTTCGGCTTCTTTAATAACTTTTGCTTGTTTAGTGAAGTTTAACGACGTGGTCTGGGCTTCTTTTACTTGCGCCGACATCACACAGTACATGAACCTTTAGCATTTCACCACTGCCAAAGCGCTACTCCCGTGTCCATGATTGAGCTCACGTGTTTAAGGAGTACCGTGTCCACAGAGTGCTACTGAGCAACCACGAACAGCAGCAATCATGTGACACGCATGACGGCTCAAACACATTCAACACACCAATAACATGACCAACAAACGGCCTAGAAAATAAAATCACATTCCAGCGTAATAATGATGTCGATAAAGCTCACTGAAAAAAAAAAAAAAAAAGTCTTGCAGTTCCGCTAGCCAAGAAAGATCAAACATACTAGAAGATTGTGCGTGCTTCTAATCTTGGGGGCCGCTCAACTAGCCACTGCAAGTCAAAATCGACCAATCCAACAAAAAATTCAATGTGGTGGCTTTCAAAGTCTAGTGGTGTATCAAAACGGCCAATTTGGTCTGGAAAATCGGAACTTCGGTACACAAACTCGTTCGAAAAATCGGTAGCGAAAATGCATCAGTGCAATGGGAACCTTGACGGTGCATTTGTGAAGTCCGACATATCCCACAAGTCTAAGTTTTTGGAGTCAGAAAAACCTGTCGCCGACTGGAGATAAAATCTCCCGATAAAGGGACGAGGGGTGCTTGCTCGGGATTTTACAGTAGTACATTCAAACCTTATTGTGACAAAGTTGCATATTACACGAAAATAAGTTTGTTAAATATGAAAATTCGTTTTAAGAGTATATTCCTAACACTATATTTATTGCAAAGACTATTTCTTTAATTACCTTGTTATAACCGATACTATTTTGTTATATCGAGTGCTATTAAATGTCGTGGTTTAAGTATACTACCATCATGGTTCCTTTGAGATTGGTAGCTGTTGTTGCTTGGTGAAAGTTGGCACGGGAGCTCAAGGCGAATCAAGTAGAACCGCATGGCTAGCATGTAGTTTTATATTTGGCGTACCCTTTGTTTTATTTCTCCTACAGACTGCAGTCTACCGGAGTGGCTACAACCGGTTCACTCCCTACTGAAGGTGTCCCGCTAGTGGAGCAGCTACGCCGGGTGGGGAGGGACGATGAGGGAGGACGAGGTGGTGTCTGTGGCAAGAAGGAAAAACCAAGGGGAAAAAATGCAGCAAAAAGAAAAATCTTGTCACCGACAGCAGCGTGCAACGTGGAAACTTTGCCACCTTCATTGTCGCTCCCTTACTTGTCATCGTCTGGCTTTTTTTTTTATCTCTGTCTTTCCCTCAGCCTTTAGTTCTTACTCCTCACTCAGCACATAAGGCAAAAAAAAAAAATATTCAGGTGGAGAAAATCTGTCTTTTGATCACTGCATTACTCGCCGCTCCCCGTATACAAGTGTGCGTACACTTCTTCTGTCGTCCCTCGCGAGAATCTGTGCTGCTCACTTTCTCACGGGGGCTGTGGGGTTCCCTGATTCCCTAGGACACGTGACGGTGTTGGCACGTCACCGGCTGCGCCGATTGTGATGCGAGCCATCGTCTTGTCACTTATCCCCCCCCCCCCCCTACGGAGAAGACTTTTTGTGGACCTCTGTTGGCCCGCTGGTTTCACTTCTTGTGCGGTACTTTGTGGCTCTAAATTTCTATTTCCTTTAAACCTTGATTTAGCATCCATTCTTTCTTACCTTTATTTCGATTTCACACAAAAGGAATGTATGAAGCCGTGCAACTTCCTTTTAGTTTACCCGTTAATACATGCCGAGGTCACTGTAGCCGTTCGTCGTGCTTCTATCCGTACTTGCATTGGTCCCTCCTTTGCAGTTATGACATTTCTTTCTGGACCTTTGGGGATAGCCCCCCCCCCCCCCCCCCCTTTTTTTTTTCTTACCTTCTTGGTCGTTGGCGGCGCATCTTCACCTCCTGTAGTGAATGCGACTGCATTGTAATTTATGTTGTTCTTTCGAGTGAATAAGTCTAGCTTTTTTTAGAGCGCGTTTTTTGAAACATCATGATTATTTCTCTATTCTTCTTTGAAAATTCTGGTGGGCCCCTTTCCTCTTCTTAAGCTGCATCGGCCTTTGTTTGTCAACCTACGTTCGCGTTTATTTTTACTGTAATTTTTTTTTCGTTGTTGTCGTTTGCCAAGGCGCATTTTTAGCATTTGTGTTCAGTCTTCGTCTGTTTATTTTGTTAGTGTTGTCATGTTTCGATTCAGGTCACCACTTCAGCGTGCATTGTCGCGGTCAAAGAACAGTAGAGGGGGAAAAAGAAAGGCCTGTAAGTGATGGTTAAGGAGAGATTTTTTACGGAAAGCACCAGATGCCCTCTCTCTCTCTGCTTTGGTTATTGGCAAAAAAAAGACATTGAAATCCTCCTAGAAATCAATTTGCTCGTCTCGTTAAGCTCGGAGCATGTCGGTACAGTGTTTTCTCTTGAGCAAAAAATGTGAAGCACTGGCATTACACAGCTATGCAGAGGAACTAAATAAAATCATCGCATTGTTCTCTCCAGATGTCGAAAGAATAAAGTAAAAGTTACTGAATTGTCACAGAACACTGCAGATCTAGCAGCTGCAGTTTCAAACCCATGACAAGCGAGTTTCCTGTCGTTGCTTATGTAGCTACAGGTACATAATTATGCTCTCAGGCTAACAGTATATATTTTTTTCAGGCTTTACGAGGCATTAGTTATTGCAAGGAGTCTGGTAGAGCATTTTATTGCCGCAATATGGCTATGTTTTGTAGCTCCGTTACGGTTCTGTTTCGTGGCACAAAAAAAATGGCATGGGGTAGTTCCTGAACCGGATACTTCGGGCAGTCAGTCATGTCGCCAAAGACTAAAATACTCTTGGAAAGTTGCACGATGGTGACATACACACAAGCTCAGTTTTTTTGTGTGTTTTTTCTTTTTCCTCCTTTGTACATATTTATTATCTTGTCCAAGCAGTCATACCCTTCCCTCTGCATTCCTAAAACTTTTTAAGTCGTGTAGTACTGTGAAATGAGTGAAATAGCCCCCCCCCCCCCCCCCTTTTTTTTTCTTATTATTCCTGCTTGTTCAACTGGCTGTGTCGACAGTGCCGAAAGCCAACTCTGCAAGCGTCACGAGTGAAACACAATGAGTGATCGAAAAAGAGGGAAAGGTGAAGCCCAAGCATCAACTGTTTGCATCACCAACGACTAATCTAAGACAGTGAGGGCAGCAGTTCTTATTAGCCTCGCCACCCACCTCCCTTTTTAAAGCAGATATCCCTCTCGAAACTCTTGTATCGTAGAGCAGCTTCTGCTTTTTGCATTCTGCACGCGTTTTTGATAAAGTCGTCGATGCCTCCACTCTTGTTAGCCTGGCGTGAAGTTTAGATAGCTCCTCTTGGTCTTTTCTATCACTGTAGTTTCTGGTTGCGTTTCCATGCCCTTTCGGCTTTTAAAAAGTTTGTCTTCTCAATAGACCTGTGCTTGTATATCTGCACTCGGGACACTGTAGCTGCATGTCATATTTGCTTTAATGTGGCCGTTTCGTTCCTGCAAGTGTTTTCCCACCCGAGACAATGTTGAATGTGGTTTTATTTTTCGTGTGTGTCAAAATGCCTGTTTTGATGTTGCACTCGTGAGACATACAGATCGAGTGGCAAACGGCACATACTCATCGCCCTCAAGAGGGCCCATTTTTGGCATTGGCTTTTTAAATCCTGTGGCTTTAAGGTGGGAAACTTAGTCAGTAGGCAGTTCTTTTTTGAATTGTCTGTGTCTCCATTCATTCAGACCATTCTCATCTTTCAACGACCCTCTGCTAAATTTGTACCGGATCATTGCTTGCAAAGTAGTCCTGCCGTTGTGCATCTCGGGACTGTTCTATGCTTTTAAAATTTTGTTGTTGCAGCTGATTCGTAGTTCTCCACGTGTGTACAAGACTCGTGTGCTTGGACTATTCGAACTGCATCACTCCAAACCGCTCCTGTGTGTGAGGTCGACGGCAGCTGATGCCCATTAGTAAGGGCTCTTGCAGTACTTGTGTATGTGTGTGTGTGAAACCCTCTTTGTATTTCGCTTTGAACATGTCTTCTACTCATGTTTGCCTACAGCATTCTTTAGACGGAGTTCCAAATGCAATCAATATTCTACGCATCAGTTGTCTTTGTTGCTTGGTCACTTCTTGCAGTGAAATATGTATCTTAATTTGATGTCAGCAATATTTCTTTCATTAAGATTCATTTCAAATTTCTTACTTTCCTTATTTCAGTGCGAATGTGCTAAGATTTGTTTTGTCTACCTCAAGAATGTCATAGGTGTTCCTTTATTTAACCTTTTGCTGGGACCCTCGATAGTGGAGTAAAAAAAGATTTGGTGTTTTATCGTGAGAAGCTCGACTTTTTTTTTTTTTTTTTTTTGCTTTTCTGGATCCTCTTTTGTTCAATAGAGAGCAGAATACAGGCATGACAACACAGTCTGGTTTGTTCAAGTACAAAATTTCCCAACACTTCTGACCCCATTGTTGTAACACTTTTCAAATCGCTTGATACCCTTTACTTTTCATGGCAAATATGAAAAGCAGGAAAGAAAACTTTTTATTAGCTTATAAAAGTTTCACGAGTTCGTGCTAAATATTTGCATGTGTGCCCATGTGTGCAGTTTTAAATTTAGACCATTTTTGCTACAAATCCATTGACGAAAAATTTCTCTGTTGTCGCCACCTAGGCTTTTCACGAGTGATGCTGAGTGTCACACTTTCTTTTGTATTTTCTCCCGAATGTTGTTCTTTCATGAAAGGATGCGAACAGTACACGCAATGAATCTCCTCTTGTTGCTACACAAAACAAAAACAAGCGAAGCAAGAAGTGGGCAAGCAGTCTTTGTTTTTCTCCTTTTCTATGTGTTGTATGTGTAATAATGGTTGAATAAACGAAACGGCCGATGTACAAGAATTGTCACTTATTTTTATTTATGAGTAGCCGTGCTAGCCAGTAATATCACATACTTTACAGTAGAACCTTGTTCTGCATTTTTGAACAAAAATGGAAAATACATCTGGGAAAACTCGATTTGAATTGCAGCGATGTTGCATGATGACACCACAAACGTTGGTCCCGGGAAGTTGTATGGAACTTGAAGCATATTAGTGTGGTTCTATGGTATTGCCATGCATGAAAAGACCTGGGAGAGAGAGTAAGCAATGAAATTCAACCACAAGAGCAGGTCCAAAACTTGATAAAGTAACTTTCAAAATCTGGTGAATGGACGGCCTAGGCTTGCATAAATGGTCGCTCACAGCTATGCACTGGCAGCAAGTTTTAATGTCTTCCCGTTCCAGGCCTATTGAATGTGGGCCTTTTGAAAAACTGGCTTTGACAATTGGTGTGGAGAGGATACATCCATTGCAGCGAAGAATACTAATGCAATAAATGCATAGTACAATTTGTGTCACAGCTTGACAACTAGATCTAACATGAAACAATTAGTTCAGACGGTAAGACCACACTAGCGTGCCTCACTCTTTAGAGAAGGAATGGGCAGGCGTGAGAAGTGACGCGGATGCAAGGGTTGAAGATTGGACAAATTGGTTTGTGCATTATGGTGAAGCAGCAGCCGAGCATATGAGTGCAACAGGACAGAGGTTTGTGTGCTTGGACGCGGCGATGTACATGTCTATTTATGTGCGTGCGCCGTTCTTCTAGCGGACAAACAGAGAAAGTCAGTTTCGCTAAAACGGCGAAACAACGAATGTGTTGCAACATATTCGAATATTTTACGAAGCAAGGCTAGCATATTTAGGAGAAATATGAATTTTAGCAAACAAGCCCTTGTTAAGTAACTAAATTTCCTGCGGCGCGGCCGCAGTAGATGACCACGACAAGGTTCGTGCGTAGTGACGGCGTTGATTAGGAGCGCCTTCCGTGGGCAGCGCATGCTGTTTACTAAGTCGCCAATGGTAGTTTGTTGTGTGTAGAGCGCATCTATATGTGGACGGCTGCCCCAAGAACACTTTTGGAACCGTTTTTTTCGCGTTGAGAGCGCAGCCCGTAGAAGCTCCCGCCTGCGGGGGGAGGGGGGGGTCAAGAGCCGCGCGTTAATATATAAGCCCCCCGTCCCCTATTGTTCGCTCTCGAAAGTGCGTGCGTGAATGATCGCGACCGGTAAGGTGACGTTCACTCCGCAAAAAAAAAAAAGGAGGCTACTGCACCCTTCCTGCCGAGACTGTCCATATAATAGCTGTCACAAAAAAAAAAAAAAAACTGGTAGACACACGGCCAGACAGTTCCGAAGAGAGGGGGCTGTCGAGTCCGGCTGTGGTTCGGTAGGCGGTACTGCATAGGTGTTCTGTAGTTTGGTCGCTGCAAGCATATCAATATTGGTTGACAGATTCCGGTTGTGCCGGATCACCCTGCAAAGCTCCGCCTGGTTAACAGCAGAGGGCAGCACAGGAAAAAGGGAGGGCTCGGATGTGGGAGTGCCCACAGAATCTATAGAGTTAATATATTAAATCTATGACAGAATCCACCTATGCAACGCAGGACCCAACACAAAGGGTGAGAGGCTGTTCGTCTCGGATCCGAAGACCCAAGAAGCCCTCGTGAAACGTGCGAGGACAGGGGCCCGTGCCTGTGGGATCCCGACCTTCTCGTGCAGGACATCAAATAAACGTTTTATTCTCCCCCCCCCCCCCCTTTTTAAAGACAGCGCTTAAACTATGTACCAACAGAAACAGGCGTAGGAGCGCTGTTTTAAACGTTTATGGGAATTAGTATCGATATTGGGAAGGGGAACTACAAAGGGGCCCGGATTCCCGATTCCAGGAATCCGGTCCCCTTTGCAGCAAGGGCCACGTACAACAAGGGCCACGTACAACAAGGGCCACAGCAACAATGGCCACGCACAACAAGGGCCACGGCAACAAGGGCCACGTACCGCTGCTTGCTCGGCTAGAACGTTCGGGCGTTCCCATCAGAGGTGTGTGAGTGTTGGAAAAATATAACTTTCAATTCAATTAGGCACAAGCCACTCTGTCCAGGTGGCGCTGCGAAAAACACTGCCACCAGCGCCCCCATCGCCGCGCCGGCCACAAATAGGTAGTGCACAGAGACAACGTTACTAGGTTATGTTGTCCACGAGCGAACGTGCATAGACCCTCTTTCGTTGGTCTTGAGGTGTGGTTTTCTGAAAATCAAGGACCTGGAGCTTCTTCCTTCAATACAACCTCACTTCATAAAAGTAGGAAGCTCATCAAAACGAAATGTGGGGTTATTGCAAAAGCTGTTTCATTTATTTTGGCGTGCTGCAACAGGCAATTTAAATGCAAGCGAGCATCGCATGGCGTCTAGTTCTAGGCCTAAATTTCTAGTTCGAGACCTATACCGAAGTTTAACGCCTAAATACGTTAAACTTGGGCATACAAGTGATAAGTGATTAAGTGCATACACGAACAATCTATGCGATCAGAGGTACGAAGCTCGCTTTACCCGGCACGAATAGCCCGGGTGATTTCTCGCTTCCTGTACATTGAACTGCTTTATTACGCATGTGCGAATGCCCTGTTGACGGTTGTCTCAGTTTCTAGACACTGCAAATTGAGATATATGCGTGTCCACTTTCTCAGTGTACAACGAACGGCAAAGCCGATGCCTCCGAGACAGCTCCGGTAATCGCAGAAACCAACAACAAAAAAGAGAAAAAAAACTGACTGTGGTCGCGATCATTTTGCGATTTACCTGTATTACGCACGTGTTCGAATTTCCTGGTTAAAGCCTGGACTTGGAGCCTTCAAAGCCCTACGTGTGTCATGCTGTGTGGTGGCGACAACTACAGCTTATCGGTGGTCGTGGCGTGTGCGATGTTTATTGCGCGCGGGCGTCACCTGTCTACTGTTGTACGTACATTATAAATGCTACCAGGGTTCTCCGTCAAGGCTACTCAAAAAATTAACAGGAGACCTACGTTATCACACTTACTCAGCTCGCGTACGACTGTCGGGAGCGCGAGTAATTCGCTTACCCAGCACGTCCGCAATGGCCTGTATTTAGCACTCTCGCTATTCTGCTTTGCGAAAGCTGCGGAAATCAGTAAAACTGTAGTCATTTACGTCCGTGGCAATTCACAGCGCTACAGTAGCGCGGAATGGGGTCTTTTTTTTTTCGTAGTGCGCGGAGCTGTTGCGTCTTCTCTTGTTTTCGCCGTCTTTAAGGTGAGTGAACCACCAAACACTTCACGGTGGCTCGGTGACGCGTCCGACTAGCGGAGATAAATTCGTAGCCTTTCTTCTGAGTGTTCAATACGCAAATACATCTAATATCTCACTCAACCGTTGTTTCGTGCGCCGTAGTTGCACCTAGTTGCGCAGCAAACTGTGCAGGGGAGTGGGGTTTCGCACTACTCAAAACTGCTTCGACAGGTGGCGCTGCGTGTCCGCAAAACTATTTGCGATAGATAAAATTTGAGAAGCGATTGAGAGAAATGGGGAAGGAGTGTTGGGCAAGGAAGGTTTTCAGTTACTTGTGCATGAAGAATGTCGATACAAAATGGAGGAAGCGAACCAGAAAATTGCCTGGTAAATACTTAGAAAATAGCAGGGGGCCAAACCAAAAGGAATTATCGGTTAAGAAGAAGGTGAAGTAAGCTGAGACCGACACGTGGAGAATTGGCATGATTAAGAAGTCCGCACTAGAGATCTATCGAACTTTTAAGCAGGAAATTGCCAAGGAAAGGATCTATGATAATACTCGGGGTACTACTGTTTGAGGCCAGGACGGGAGTATTGCGAACCAAGATATATAGGGCCAAATACGATGGGGTAGACAGAGCATGCAGTGCGTGTGGAGAGGAAGAAGAAACTGCCGAACACTTGATAATGTTCTGTAAAGGGCTTCACCCTATAGTACAGGATGATGGCACAGAGTTTTTCAAAGCACTGGGGATTAGGGACAGGGAGGGCAAAATAGACTTTAAGCGGGTAGAATTAACTAGAAGGAGGTTATTTGATTGGTGGCTAAAGTCAAAGCACGAGTGAAAATTAAACCCTTCACTGCAAAGTACGAGTCCTCAACCTCACTATTCAAAGAAAAAAAATCTAGTTTTTGGTTCATTAAGTATTACGGCTTGGTGGCGCTACCACCGCCCAATCTAAAGGGTACAGCCACGGAGGAAGTAAGGTACAGCCATATCCATTCATCCACTAGGTGCTTTTGATCTTTTTTTGCTCTTTTTTTTATATACCTAGGCTGGAACACAACATATGTGTGTTCACCCGTTACAAAGGACAAAGCCACAAATCATCATCATCACCAGAAACTGTCGTTTTTCTTGTTTTTACCTGCAATGTGTGCACACAGAAGGTATGCAGCTCTGCATCAGAAAAAACTGGAAGCTGGCATCCACTAATCATTACGCTGAAAAAAAAAAAAAAACTGGCGACATCATTTCAGTAGCTAATTAATATTCTTGATTTATTCAGAGCTGAAACAACTTTTCTTTGTGTAGGGAGTACAGACCCATAATTTTATTGGGTTCTGAGAAACGCTGTGGGGACGAGAGACTACAAGACGCCACCAGCATGATTTGGTTTATCATGTTCGCCTCAAGAAGCGGAGTTGCACCTCCTAAATGTTTCTTCCTTCATGTATGGGGTGCGATCACGGAGGATACACAGTTCTGCAAATAAAACAGCGTTCTACTGTTGCTGCGGAATAGTGTGCTAATAAAACTTGACGTTACTCTTGACTCTCAGCAATTAAAAAAAAAAGAATACACCAGAGAACATGGAGGAAGGAAAAAAGAACAGTGACCTCCACTGCTTCCTCTGGTATCAGTGCCAGAGAATACACAACTCTGAATATGTTTAACACACGGCCTCTGAGATTTTTATATAACAGAGAAGTGGAGAGTTTCATGTATGAAACTCCATGGCTGGTAACATAAAGTATCCATACAG